CCCCAAAACCCCAAAACCCCATGGTGAAAATTTAGAAACTTGAAAACCTCTCTTATAATACAATAATAATTATTAAATATTTTTGGAGAAATAGAATCAAATTCGAAGATATGCAATTTAAAGTAGACTCTACTCCAGCTATTGTAATTTTGAAATATCATATACTGAAAGAGATAATATTCAAGTTATCAAGATTAAACAGAGATACTCGATAATTTATTCAGGAGGAGTTTAAATATATCAGACCAGATAGACTAATTACTTTACGATTTGACTTTTATAACTTGAGACCTAAACCTAGAAAGATAATTTGGATTGCTGCTTGCATGAATATAGTGACACTTATTATTGTGAATGGAATAGATTTTGATTACATCTTAAGTATATTAAAACAATTTAGACCAGATATTACATTAAATATTGAGCTAGAGTCTTTCAACGATGAAGATATGAATGCTGAGAAGTTTATGGAGCTTATTGGATATTATAAAATAAATGAAGTTTCAATTGTTAAAAGTACCATTGTTTTGAAGTCTAGTGCAAATTACTTGCTTGGACCAGCAAATACTTTCAGGGCAGTAAACTCAGCTTTTAGATTTAGCAGGTTTGATCAAATTTTGTCATGCTAAAACCTAAAACTTGAAAATTGTAAATTGACAATTAAGATAAATTGTGAAAAGCTATTTGCCAATGTTAGAAGAGCATATTTGGCTAATACCAGCATTAAAGATAATTATTTAAGTTTATTTACTGATGCACTTTAGGAATTGGTCATTAAAAAGAATGTGGTTAATAGTGGTTAAGCTTTGAAGCAAGATTTACTCAAGAAGGTAATGTAGGAAAATAAACCCTTTTATAAGAGCCTAAAGTTCCTCTCACTATATGGTCATATTTCAGAAGAATCCTTATTAACTCTACTTCATCATCAATCAATATTTCCAAGTCTTGAAGTTATAAAAATACATTGTGATCAGCTATTGTTGAGTTTAAGTAAAATTAAAATGAGAATGAAATTACATAATTTGAAAAAGCTTGATTTGAGGGGGTGCTTAGTGAAAGCTGATGTTAATGGTTAGAATGTACTGAATGTTCCAGGGGCTAATATTGGTATTCAGAGAAAAGGTGTGAGAATGGGTAATCTATCAGCTATGATTAAACATAATCAGTAGCTTAAAACCATTAAAAAGAAAGCCTTAGGGAAAAATTATCATAGGGTAGCTTGGTAAGACTCACCTGACACAAGCGATGAAGAGAAAAAAGCTAGAAAGTTTGAGTAGTCTAGCTAAGAAAGTGACATGAGTGATGAATTGGAAAGAGCTAGAAAGAACTATCAAAAAAGAATGAAGGGACAAGAAAGATATAATCAGAAAAATGGCTTCAATTTTGAGAAAAATCTATTCTTTTGATTTTAAAGTAATTGATATAATTTCTTAACAACTAAACGATAGCATATCTTCAATCATGGGGTTTTGGGGTTTTGGGGTTTTGGGG